AAAGAATGCACACATGCCGTTGCACAGCTAGAACCAATCTATTATATTTATTCCTCTCTCGATATTTACAGCTTTAGTATCCTAGGATGCCTGTTTCTCCATTATGATCTTATGTTTCCCTGGGATGCAAAATCTTTAATCCTTTTAAGCAACCTCTGGGTTTTCCCAGCAGAGATCAGAGGGACCTGCATGCTCTTGAAAACACAGCTTTGATGGAATAAAATAAAGCACATTTCATAGGAATAATGTGGCACCACTTCACAAATAATTTTGCAGTTTAGAAATCTACTTAGGAGTATGTATGTGTTCTTCTTCTTAGGTGATCACTCGTAGCCAAGTAAGATTGTCTTCCATGAACACGGTCTTAACAGTGAGTCTGTAAGTGACTGCAGAGGCCAATTCTGGATCCACATATCCTTCCACAGTAGAGACATAGGCTTCCAGATGGGAGTTGATCATGGTGAGGGTTTGCCAAACGTGCCTTTGTCTTAGCACGTTTCCCCTTTTCATCCTGAGTTTGAGCATTTTCAAAATCCATGACACCTTTTGTAAAGGCTGTTCTCCAATTGGAGTGCTCACAGGCCAGTGTTTCCCAATTGTCAGTGCTTATACTACATTTTTAAGATTTGCATTGAGAGAGTCTTTGTTGACCACCAGCATTACAGTTTCCATTTTTAAGTTCGGAATAGAGTAGTTGCTTTGGAAGACGATAATCAGGCATCTGAACAACATGACCAGTCCAACAAGTTGTTGTTGAAGAATCATTGCTTCAACACTGGTGATCTTTGCATCTTCCAGTACACTGGCATTAGTTTGCCTGTCTTCCCAAGTGATATGTTAAATGATGGAATCTTTCGAGGAGTTTGAGATGGCATTTATAAGTGGTCCATGTTTCACAAGCATATAGTAAGGTTGGTAGTACAATAGCTTTGTAAACAAACATTTTGGTTTCCCTGTGAATGTCCCAGTCCTCAAACACTCTGTACTTCAACTGAGAGAAAGCTGCACTCGCAGAGCTCAGGCGATGCTGGATTTTGGCATCAATGTCGGCCCTTGTGTAAAGATAACTGCCCAGGTAGGAGAAGTGATCAACACTTTCCAACGTTACACGAGTGAGTTGGATTTGTGGCGCTGCAGAGCAGTTGTTTTGTGCTTGTTGGTGCAGCACTTTGGTTTTTGGGATGTTGAGACATAGGGCAAAGCTTTTCATAAGCTTCTGCGAATATATTTAGGATAGTTTGGAGGTCTTCCTTTGAGTGTGCACACACCACGTTGTCATCAGCATACTGAAATTCTATGATGGAAGTTATAGTAACCTTACTCTTTGCTTTCCCTTCTACAAAATTTAGGATCATGGCAATGAAAATAATAAATAGAGTTGGGGCGATAACACAACACTGTTTAACACCTGATCCCACTGTGAATGGTTTGCTTTGAGAGCCATTGTTATCTTCGATTGTTGCTGTCATATTATCATGGAGGAGCTGAAGGATGTTCACAAATTTATCTGGGCAGCCAAATTTCAGAAGGACGGTCCACAGGGCATTACAATTTAGTGTTGAAGGCCCTAGTCAGGTCAATAAACATCATATACAGGGGTTGGTTTTGTTCTCTGCATTTTTCTTGAAGCTGTCAAGCGGTGAAGATCATGTCCACTGTTCCCCCTAGAAGGTTGAAAACCATTTTGGGATTCAGGAAGCATAGCCTCAGATATTGTTGGAAGAGAGTTTGCTAAGATCCTTGCCAGAATTTTGCTTCCTGCAGCTAATAAATAGATGCCTCAATAGTTTACACAATCTGTTCTATCACCTTTCTAAAAAAAGAAATTGATAATTTTTGCATCCCTAAAGTCTGCTGGGATCTCCCAGATTTTTTTTATGAGCTTGTGAAGTTGTTGTGTACGTTTAATTCTGCCCTCTTCAGAAGGCATCCCATCAGGTCCACTGTCTTTGTTGTTTTTCATTGGTTAATAGCTGTGCACAACTCTCCCAGATCTGGAGATACTGCAAGCTCATCTCTAATTTGTTTTTGCGGAATTTGTGAGAAGACCTCAGCAGCTATGGGGGAGTTGCAGTTAAGGAGATGCTGTTAATGTTCTTTCCAGCTCATGCAATAGCTTATCTTTTAGAAGTGTGGTACCATCTGTTGAGGATCGGGGGCATATGCCATGATTTATTGACCCATAAATGGTCTTTGTGGCTTTAAAGAAACTCTGTGCATCATGAGTGCCTGCTAAGTGCTGAATCTCTTGAGGGTTTTTTATCCACCAGGTGTTCTTTAGTTCTCTGGTTCTATGTATGCATGCACTAGATTAAAATAATATAGAATAAGAATATCAGAAGTGATCAATTTAAAATTGCAGGAATTGTGCTTACTCTAAAACATGAGAAGGAAACACTATAGTCTTTGTGGAGATCATGAAACTGCCTCCCCTCCTCCAATGACCTTCTTTTGGACACACAAAATGATTGTGCTCCTTTGGACCACATCAGCGAGGCCAAGAGGGTGTGTGTCCTGCCATCTGAACAGCCCAGGACCTCCATACACATTTCTCAGGTTTGCATCCCAGGGAGCTCACTTCGATGCTACTAACACAGTGGTTTGCCTTCATCCCAATAGGCACACTCCGTTGTCTCATGAGACAGATGAATGCCAACAACAATTCACTGTTCCTATCAAATTCAAAACAATTGGCAATAATTAGTTAGAGAAGATGTGTAGCTGGAAGTATCAATAGGTAGGTTGTTAATACCTGCCCCCAAACTATGTAGAAAGAGCTCTGTTGCTTTATTTACAGTAACAAATAGAGGTAAGCAGGATAACGTTACTTCTTCCACATCCTTTGTCCGACTCCATCTTTTCCACATGAAATATCCTGTTCCTTTAATTCTCATTCCCAATTGAAATAAAGTACAGGTAGCTTCATTTGCCCACATCCTTCTGTCTCTATGCCTGCGTCTTGTTCCTTCATTCTGCTTTTTGCCCTATTATCTCTTTGGGATTGTATGCTCCTTGGGGGCAGGGACTTGTCTTTTTTGCCCATGTAACTCGGTAAGAATCTGTGTTCACTGAAGGTAATGCATAAATGGTAATATTAGTAGAAATAGTAAATATTAATAATAATTATTAGTTCACTGTATTTCTGACATTCAGAGGTGAATGTTCTGACTTACCGTATTTTTCGCCCTATAGGACGCACCAGCCCATACGACGCACCTAGATTTTTTGGGGGGGGGAATAAAGGGAGAAAAAAATTATTTCCCCCCCCTCAGGCGCGGGGCTGGGGCGGGGGAAGCCCGAGCTTCCCCCGACCCCAGCCCCCAGAACGGGAGCCAGAGCGATGCCGAAGCTGCGTGCAGCTTCGGCATCGCTCTGGGACCCATTCTGGGGGCTGGGGTTGAGAGAGCTTCCCCCGACCCCAGCCCCCAGAACAGGCTGCCGCCCACAAGCCTTGCAAGCCCGGCGGGACCTCCCGCCGGGCGCGCAAGGCTTGCGGACATCTGCCTCAAGCACAGGGCGTGCTCCGCAGCGCACCCTGTGCTTCAGGCTGCAGGCTGCTGCCCGCAAGCCTTGGGAGCCCGGCGGTCACTCCCGCCGGCTCCCAAGGCTTGCGGATAGCTTCCTGAAGCCTGGAGAGCGAGAGGGGTCGGTGCGCACCAACGCTTCTCACTCTCCAGGCTTCAGCGAAAGCCTGCATTCGCCCCATAGGACACACACACATTTCCCCTTCATTTTTGGAGGGGGGAAATGCATCCTATAGGGCGAAAAATACGGTATATAGCCAAAATGGCAATACAGTGGTACCTAGGGTTAAGAACTTAATTCATTCTGGAGGTTAGTTCTTAACCTGAAACTGTTCTTAACCTGAAGTACCACTTTAGCTAATGGGGCCTGCTGCGGCCACCGCACTGGTGTTCTCAGCACCGGTGTGGAGATGAGTGAGTTCCTCAGGTGATAATCTTACCACTTTTTAATTAGCATCTCAAAATGGCCACGCAAATTATTTCTTAGGGCAGCTAGTTCTGTTCTGACTTGATCTTTCTGACAGCTGAAAGAAGAAGGTGCAGAGACATGGTGAACTTTGCCCTCTTTGCCTTTGCAAGTCAACATGTCATACCCAATCTCGTTGGATGGGATCCAGACCAAGCTGGTTACACATTAGTCCCCTTGAGATCAATAGGACTTCATTTAGTCATGACTAATCTGTCCCAGAAATTTATGCAGGACTAAATGTGTGGTTAAATGTGGTCAGGATCTGATTTGTTTAATTTAGGTCAGCCCAAGAGAGGTTCTTTCATTATGACCACCATATAGTAATTGCTGGAAATACTTCACTGTGGCAGGTTATATGGCCATATACCAGTGCCAGCCACTGCCAGGAATCTGTGGCATGAAAACATACCTGCTCCAAGTGATCAGAGTGAACTGTAGGTCAGCCCAAGTGACTCTTGCCACTCCACAGAGCCCCTTCCATGCAGGAAAGGAGCTTCTACAAGATGACAGTAACATAAAAGTGGAGTTTGAGTAAACCAAACTAATCCTAATTGCATATTATTATTCTTACTGCATTTATTCGTCATTTACAATATAAAATGTCTCAAGGCGAACTACAAAAGCATACATAATACAGAATGTAATATACATCAAAAATATATGAGAACATTATGTTCATCCTAATGTAATAAAAGAGTCTCAAAATATAGTAGCTTTGATCAACCACATAAAAAAAAAACAATTATTCACTCTCCATTCATTTTTTAGGTTTATTTTTTAATTGGATCATGGTGTTTTTGTCATGTGGGTAGTGTTGAGCATTGTTTTTCACATTTCAACTGCTATCTTGCTTGCTTAGTTAACAAACAAGCAAAAGTTTGCAAGGTAAAAAAGATAAAGAGAATAGGGAAGTTTGCTGCTGCTGTGTAAATATTGCAGGTTATGATGTTTTAATTTATAGCCCAACAAGCCTAGTTGCTGATTTGCCACTCTTCCTTCTTTTTCAGGTGTATAAAAAGAAAACTGAAGCTGCTAAGAAGGAATATCTGAAGCAGTTAGCTGCATACAGAGCAAGCCTTGTATCCAAGGTAACATGTTTTTAATATTTAATATTGAAAGTCACCCTGATAAGTTGTGTTTTAATGGCCGGGTGTAAACCTTAATAAATAAATAATTAATTAATAATAGGCATTGGATGGATTATAGGTGTTCCAGCCATATTTTTTTATTGTCCAGCTGTGTTATATGTAAAAAACAATTATTGCTTCTCTAAGCTTTTAAGTTAATTCTGGGAATTGCTGCTTAATACAAACAGCTGTTTGTTTATGCTAGATGGCAAACCCTATCCCCCTTTCATTTCCATAGCTTAGAGGCATGAGCAGGACCGCAAATGAAAGATAAAATTGACTATTGATAAATCTTACGTCTGCCAATGGAAAGTTGGACCGCAACCAGTAACTGGCTGTTTTGATTTCCAGTAGTTTGTGTGTACTTGTACAACATGATCACCACCTTGTAGGTGACAAATGGACTAGTTGTACATGGCGTGGGCTTGGATTAGTGCCTTGTACTAATGGAAAAGCCACTTTTGAAAAGGCAAGGCAGCTTCTCCACCCTTCAGTTTCTGCCAATACCTTCCTCCTGCTGCAGCCCTCTGCGCCTTTTCCAATGCTGTTCCAAAGGGTTCCTTGACCTTCAGGAGTCGGGGTGCAGAGGGTATATAGAGGAGGATTGGTGTACAAGAGAAGCTGTGTTTCCAGTTTGCATCCAATCCATTTTTCTCCTCTCTCTCTCTTTTTTTCTCCCCCCCCCCACCCCATAAATGTACCCATATATTATCTTTTATCTATGTAACCCATTGTAAGCATCCGTATGCTGGTGCAGCAAGTCTTAACTACATATTTGAAAGTCCTATATATTCAACTACAGTGGCTTGAAATGAGAAGTGTTTTCATGCTGATGAGTCTAAAATTTGATATTTCAATACTCTAGATTTATTTTATTTTATTTTATTATTTGTTAGGATTACCAGTTGCCAAAAGGTGACCACTGTTCACTTGGAATTGATGATACAAATGTACATTAGTCTCCATTAAATATATTACAATGTTTGCTAGAGCTTTTCTCAAAGCCTATTCCCCACTCCTGTCTTAGAATTATTGAAATTAATGGGGCTACAGTCAAGCTGTTTGATGTGTGTGGAAATAAATATATAAAGTAAAAAATCACATTACAAAGCTTTTTTTATAATGCTATTCAGATTATGATATTATTTATAATACTGACTAAGCTTTTGCGTTGCCCTTAGTTGCAACTTTTACTACTTTTGCTAGTAGTTTGTATAGCAAATTGTATAGCCTTATTTAAAATGCTGTGAATTGCAATTTTGAATTTAAAAAAACAAGCACTTTTATTGCTTAACATGGCACTTTTGTGTTCAAGCTGATAGTAGATATGTTAGTTTACCTGTTGAGTCGATATTTATAAAGTATTTTATGGAGGCAGCTCTAGAAGCTTAGGATATAAAACATGCCTTATTTTATTTCAAAAGATATAATGTGCTATTTAGATCAGACTGGGGGCCCTTCTACAGTACACGCAATCAAATATAGTATCTAACATGTAACATTCATTTCATGAACGATTTAGGAATTACGCCTCCTCCTTTGGAGAACAGCTACATTTGTTAGGGGGCTACTTTGGGACTCAGGTGCAGGATGTTGAGTCCACACTCCAACTGGCATCAAGTCTCTTTTAAAAATATTATAATCTGTTTATTCAAATATTTACATAAGTGACTACATATATTATTATGAATAAAAGAAAATAGATATATGAGATGATCCAAGATATAAACAGGTAAAAATATAAATCAACCAGTGTTTATAAAAGCATGTATGTAGATAATTTCATTCCTTGTAAAACCCTATCGTTATTCAAATCTGCAGACACATAAAAATCCCCATTGAAACCTGAATAAAGGATATTATCATAACAGTATTTAGATAGCTAAAAATATAAACAAATATTACTATATGTCCTCTAAAGAATATGAATTAATTAAGTCTTGCACTTTATTATTATGATTGCCCTTTTGCCAGAGCTGCCTGCCTGTCCATGTCTACAAGTCTGATATCCCAGGACTTGGCACAGATATTTTAAACACTTTACAAATTAGACTGTCTTTGAAAGGCAGAGAACAAATAAACCAGACAGGTCTTTCTTTCCAAATTTAGTAACAAGTTTCACTTTCCGACCCACTGATGTCTTTCCCCTTAAGCTGGTAAAACATTTCAGCTTTCAAACAAACATCCTCACACCATTACTGATGCTGCACTTCCAATGCCTGGGTCCCAGCATCCTTAATCTGTCACTTCCCAGCTCCAGTAGTCTGGATTCTTGGCCCCATCTCCTCTCTACCATCACCACTCCCTGCTTTTTCTCCAGCCCTGCATTGCTGGCTGCAGCCTAAAGAGGCAGGGGTCTAGGATCATAGAATTGTTGCATTAGAAGGGACCCCAGGGGTCATCTCATCCAGCTTCCTGCAGTGCACACAGAGAACAATTAACCTCCAACCCAACCAAGCAGGCTGGTAATTCTCTATATCTTGCCCAGGCTTTCTCAACCTCGGCCCTCCAGATGTTTTTGGCCTACAACTCCCATGATCCCTAGCTAGCAGGACCAGTGGTCAGGGATGATGGGAACTGTAGTCTCAAAACATCTGGAGGGCTGAGGTTGAGGAATCCTGCTCTAGCCCGAGACTCTGCCCAGGCCACACCTCTGCCAAGCCGCACTCTTCACTGAACCTCACCTGTTTCCTCCTCTGGTGTTTTTACCTGGCTAGAATGTGATAATTACTCTTGCTTGCCTGTATGGAGAGTGGAGTGTGTCTGACCATGCCTATTTTGCCACACCCACCACAAGTGCATGCCCCCACCCCACCAATAAGGTTGCATTTGAGGGAATGCAGTTCTGAGGCTGAAAAAGGTTCCCCACCCTAGTGGGGTACATAACACTGGAACAGTGAAACAATGCTATTAGTCAATCCCCACCCAGTTTAAGAGAGCTATAGAGAAGGTTAAAACCCTTCACATTGAGAAAGAAAATGACTCCCCATCAGTAAGGTCCAACATTTCTTTTGTGCCATAATAATAATAATAATAATAATAATAATAATAGAGCTACATTTTAAATCTATTGCCTTGTGTTTGGGTTTTCTGTCTGCAAGTGGAGTAGTATATCACATTGGGTGCAGGTGGAACGCATATTCTTACCTATGCGCCGAGAATTGAATTCCCTTTATCATTTCCATTTAATTTTGCTCAGTTTACTGGAGAAAATACGTTTTTGTTGCCATCATTACTACAGCTTGACTTGGGCAAATGAAGTTATCATCTTTTTCATTGTATATCATTGCGCATAATGAACCAATTTCTGTAATGTGCATATTGGCTGATTGGTGGTGATGGTGCATACATCAAAAGGAATACAAATGGTTCTTCACAGGCTCCAGTGACCCCAGAGTGCCTGGAGTAACGTTAAACTTATTTTGACTTGTAAATGGAGGAAATGTGACATGGAGGTTATAGAATAAGGGCATATATGCATCTTCCAACTCTTGTTTTGACATAGTACTGCCTTCTTTCAAAGGAACATTTTATCTCTCTCTTTTTTTTCCTGGCATGTTTCACCTTCCACTAGTTATTCATTCAACTTCTCCCTAAGAGATGAATTATTATTCAGGTACATATCCACTGGCAAGCCCCGGGGGAGTTAATCTCTTGCTCTTTGCTGCATTTATGTGAGCACATCTAGTTTATAAGTCAGCTCTGATGAAATGACTGTGGGGAAAACTGATGTAAATAAACTTTTAAATATATATATGTTATATGGAAGTTATTAGGAAACACAGTTATCCACTGATTGTTCCAAAAAGTTTCTTTTTTAAAAAAATGTTGCTGGATAACTTTATGTTCATAAATGTATACTGGGTTGATGACCTAGAATTAGTAGAGCTGAGCCTGCTGCAGGTAATTTCTGAGACCTTGCATAGACTTCTCTCTAGGGCAGAGATGAGGAGTGCAACTCCCATCCTCCTGGGCTCAATGGAGTTGGAGTCTCACAACACCTGGAAGGCCACAGGTCCCATGTCCCATATCAGTTCCACATGCATTCGGTCATGAGTCTGCTTCATCCTGCTTGAGATCAAAGAAGGAGCTTCTGTGTAGCTGCAGAAAAGCCCTCTAAACACAAGTCTCGGTTTGTTTGTTTTATTTAACAAAATTTATATATCGCTTGATTCTAAATAGAACCTCTAAGAGGTCTACAAACAGTAGTGTAGTCAGTATCACAATGTCATTCACAAATAGTGATGTGATAGTTACTGAACAGTCGTTCATTACTTTTCTTTTCAAAGTAATAATAATAAAAGCCATGTGCCCCTCCTTTCTCAGTGTCCTTGGCCATACTTTGGAGGAGATGCTCACCTAGGCACTTCATCTGCTCTTGTCCCACCCTTTCTCTCATTTCCATCTACCACTCAATACCTCTCAATGGGCCATCTGGAATGAGCAAGGATTCATATGCAAAACAGCTATAGAACTGTAGAAACAACAGTAAGGACTTGGCCATGCCTCCTCTTATTCCACTGCTTTCTCCCAGGGAAAACTGTTCTTTAGTGATCAGTCAGAGCAAACAGCTATTCCAGTTTTCCCCAGATTGCCATTTGTTTTGATCTGTCGCTAAAGAGGGAGTTTGAGAAGGGGAAACTGCTCGGACCCATGTCTAGAAAGTGTGGCTCAAGCAGAAAACTGCTTGGACCTGTGCTTTCTAGGCTCGGCACAAACAGAAATATGGGTGAGCCCTAAGACTTCAACTCGATGAGAATGAAAGTGAATGCAGAGGCAAGAGATAGTAGGAGGAAAACAATGGGGACAGGGAGAGAGAGAAAATACCGTATTTTTTGCTCCATAACACTCACTTTTTTCCTCCTAGAAAGTAAGGAGAAATGTCTGTGCGTGTTATGGAGCGAATGCCTACGGATGGCGGGGGGATCTGCTGCAGTCGTGAGCAGAGGATCCATGGTTCCCCTTCCTCCCTTCCTCCGTGGCTCGCTTTGAAACAGCAAAGCGGGAGAAGAGCCGCTGAGTGGGGAGGAGAGAGGGACAGAGAGCCTGCTTGCTTTAAAGAAGCAAAGCGGGAGAGGAGAGGAGCCACTTACACAAGTGTAAGCGGCTCCTGTCCGGTTGGCTCCTTTAAAGCAAGCAGGCTCTCTGTCCCTCTCCTCCCCACTCAGCTGACTAAATAGCAGCAAAGTTTTTCAGCTCGCTAAGCCGGGGAGGTGGGAGAGAAGCAGAGCCTGCTTGCTTTAAAGGAGCAAAGCGGGAGAGGAGAGGAGCCTTCTCCTCTTATACCCCTCGCCTGCATTATTAGCAGCATCCTTCCCCACCCACCCCACACGTGTTCCTTCTCCCCTTAAACCCCTCTCCTGCATTATTAGCAGCATCCTTCTCCACACACTCCAAGCGTGCTTCTTGTCCCTTGAGTGCTTTTCCTTCCCTCCCCACTTAAAACGTGGTTACAAAGCACGGATCCACATGGATCCTCAGGATTTTTGCATTGGGTCACCCCAAATTCACCATCAGATCACATAGCATGTCCATGGCTACAGCTTGCACCAAAAAAATCACGCACCCACTGTTGCCTGGGGCTGCAGTGGTGCAAAAACGTGGTTGCAAAGCATGGATCCACATGGATCCTCAGGATTTTTGCGTTGGGCTACCCCAAACTCACCGTCAGATCACATGTCTGTGGCCACAGCATGAACCACAAAAATCATACATCCACTGTTTCGTTTAGAATTTTTTTTTCTTGTTTTCCTCCTCTAAAAACTATGTGCGTGTTATAGAGGAAAAATACGGTATTAAGGATGCATTTGCATGCCTTCCCAGAGGTAGTAACTACATCATGCAAGTCAGTAAGTGGTATGTTACATAACTGGACATATTCATGACAGGAAAATGTTTGTCTAATTCCTGGCTCTTGTTTTCAAGGTCATGTACAACTTCTTGTTTTGACTTGCCTTTAGGTTTCCATTGCTGTGTCTTTTATTATTTTATATTTGGGCGAGCAGAAGAAACTAAGAACTTGTTGCAGTCATGTCCTGCTTTAGTTTTTACATAAGCATCTGCTTAGCCTCTGTGAGAACAGAATGCTGGACTAGACGGCCCTTTGCTCTGATTCAGCAGGGCCCTTTCTACATTCGTAACCATGTCATGCATTCATTCACTTTGGCTATAATGCTAACAGCACTAACAGCCTTTAAATATTGTCTGGTGTTTATGTTTTATTTTTTTTCTGAACAGAGCTACAATGAACCTGTGGATGTTAAGGTATCCCAGCAACCTCAGATGATGAACACAAAGCAGTCAGTATTCCATGGATCTACACAGCCCCATTCGGCATTGTATCTAAGTTCCCATTACCACCAACAAGGAGGAATGAATCCTCACATAACAGCCATACATCCCAATATTCCTAGGAATATAGCACCTAAGCCTAACAGCCAAATGCCAGTGACTGTTTCCATAGCCAATATGGCTGTGTCTCCACCTCCATCCCTTCAGATGAGTCCTCCTCTTCACCCGCACCTCAGTATACAACAACACCAGCCACTTACAATGCAGCAGTCCATTGGGAACCAGCTACCAATGCAGGTCCAGTCTGCTTTGCATTCACCTACAATGCAACAAGTAAGTCCTACCTATGTGTTTTAATCTCTGATGATGCATTAATATTTGTGTTACTTCCCATTTTTGCATTGGCTCAGAGTTCCAGGTTTCATATTGCAGCTGCGAGTTATGATCCCCAGAAATCTGCTCTTCTCCCTATGGAGGAAAACCAGGTGGTTCCTGTTCTCTAACCATATAAAAAGTCACGCACATGTAGACAACTTGCAGGCTAGCATGAGCAAGGCAGAAGCTTAGCTGGTTATTGTATGTGAACCTATCTTCTTCCAAGCTTGTGGCCACTTCGTAGCCTTGTTGAACACAGGAAGCTGCCTTAGCCTGAGTCAGACCATTGGTTTGTCTACCTAAGTATTGCTCATTGTGACTAGCAGTGCCTTTCCAGACCCTCAGCTGGAGATGCCAAGAACAGAACCTGGGACTTTCTGCATGCAATGCATGTACTAAAGTCCTGATGCCCCACAACCATGCTACTTCCTTTGTGATAGCAACAAGTGAGCTAGTTCATTGCATAGAAGTAGGGAGATGCCAGGACGTTCTGCGCTCTTGCTTCCCCTGTCCATTTCTGGTGTGTATGTGAATGCTATTAGAGCTTATGCAAACAAAGGAGAGAAATGTTGTGGCAATTAGAGCCATAATTCATACCATTAATCATTCTGAATTCCAGTACAGTATTCTTTTTTATTCATCAACAACACTTAAGAGGAGTCTTCCCCTAAGCTTACAACTCCCATATCTCTGACCATTGGCTGTGCAAGCTGGGCCTGATGGCAGCTGAAATTCAAAAATTCTGGAAAGCACCAAGTCAGGGGGAAATGCATAGTAGAGTTCAGATGGGTCTTATTCTGCATTGTGTTATTTCAACTAGAATATCAAAATACTTGTTCCTTGGCCCCAAAATGAAAGAACTCCATTATTTTCACTTAATATTCTCTTAGTCTTTTCTTTCTGAGATACTTTTTTTTTTAACATTAAAAGACAGGTTATAAGAGGCATACCATCAATTTAAATTCCAGTATGAAATCAGTAGCATCTTGTTTGTGGACTTTTGTGACCCTGCCCTCAGTGCTAGGCATTATTCAGATGTTTTCATTTAGTGTGCACTCAGGTGACCAGAGCTTTTTCCTAAGCGGTGTCAGTTAATTTAGATTCTCAATATATGAAGGTTCCCCCAATTATTTCCCCCAATGTGCTTTAACTTATGTATGTTATAATGAACCCATTATGTTGCTCATTCACTTAGATTCATTGCCCCTCTCAGAAGTTTCTCACAGGTCACCTGTCAGATATTACCTTCTAAATCATGAGCTTCATTAGAAAAATGCAACCTAAATGAAGTGTAGCTAAATTAGTCACATTTCTTTTGATTTTCATAGGCTAACAAGACATTTATACAGGAATTTTGTGTTCACACTGAAAACAAAAAGCACTACAATTCTTTTTTTAAAAAAAACAACACACACACCACACCATTTCCCCACATCTTCTAGAGAATTTGGTAACAGAAACATTGCTGCCATTATGTGTGTAACTGTCTGGTTTTTGGTAACACAGATACTCCTAAAATGAGTGATAGATACTCATAAAATGAATCAACAGTCCCAATGAAATTCCATTGCTGTTTTCAATAAAACAGAACAAAAGTCGTGTATAGGGAACCCAAAGTCTACCTACTGAATGTCTACTGTGTGTTTGCAAAGATTTACGAGCACTCTGGTTAACTTCCTAGAATATTGAAGTTTATGGATCTGACTATGAGCCAACTCCCTTCTCGCCCATCCCAGTAAGACCAAACTGCCTGCCTGCCCTGCGAAAGACTTCTTTCATACAGTTTTTTGTCATTTATTACATGAGTGGTAACTATCACATACCTCTCTCCTCATAGTGCTAGTATGCTGTTCATTCTCCTGTTCTGTCACACCAGCCTTCCCCAAGCTGGTGACCTCTGAATGTTTTGGTCCGTAACTTCCACCATTAGCCTCAGCCAGTTTGGTCAGGGATGAGGGAACTTGTGGTTCCAAACCATCCAGAGGTCACCAGCTTGGGGAAGGCTGTGTTGAACAAGAGATAGAAGTACCGATCTACTAAGCTGTTGTTTTTCTATATTGCCATGATAGAAGGCCTACAATTCCGTTCTTTATTTTTATCACTTCCGTTGCAATGTGATCACATGGGTGGCCTTTTCAGACATTGCAGCTTCACTTCTTCCGATCTGTTTTTATCCCGTCAGTTCTCGGGCATGCTGCATTTTCACCACTCATTATTTCCCCTGCCCTCCATTCCCCCCCCCCCACGTACCATGTTTCTGAATGTGGCTAACAGGCATGGGGAGAGGGAATCATTAATATCTGTCAACTGTCCTTATAACCTTAAGGGAAAATCTTTGTATGATATCACACAGACATATTTTCAATTTCCTTGTGTAATAAACAGATGCTTTAGGATTTGGATGCAATTTAAAGGTTTAAAAAACATCACATTGAGATTGATGAATAAATCAGTTGTGAAGACAAAAACATTGATGCCTGTTGAAAATACCTCTCCAGACAGGCAGGAAATGAAATTAGTTCCCGGTAAAGTGTAGAGATGAGGATCGCACTTTAGGTTCTGCTGCAGGCTTTTTAGTACTTGCTACAGTCGCACACAAAAACCCCAGCTAGGGATACAGAAATCTAATTAAAGAGCAAATGTCCCGTCTGACATCAAATTAATCTTTATCAAGTCCCCTATTTTTATTTCAATCTGGCGCAAGAAAATGAAACTTAAAATTCGAGGCATGTTGCAAAACAGTTGCTGATTTTATCTTGAGCATTACAAAGCAAAACATTTGGCATTATCTCATTAGCCCACAGAGCATCCATTTTCTGATATTTTTTTATTGCATTGTTGTTTGCAAACCCCTTACATGAAATTCTATTTAAGCCATTCTGCATCAGAGTGGCACAAGCGTCCAGTGAATATTATAGACTGCTTGAAACAGTAGCCAAGAAATTTGGCCTTTTGTTAGCTTTGCAATTCTAAAATTCTTCAGTTATATTTTGTTAGCTTTGGCATAAACCTTTACGGCAAATATTAGAACAGCAACATGATTTCCTGGGTTGTGGGAAGCTCCTACATCTGTTCTGTTGGCTTGTAACAGGGGAGAAGGGAGCCTTCATTAATAAGGAATCCTGATAACCCAAGGTTCAAAGAACTATTAATTATGGTATGACATATTTTGTTCCTTGTTGTTTTCAATCAGTATCCATAACTGTGACTGCTTTTGTACATAGGAAAAACAAACGGAAGTAAGAGCCATTAGTCGAAATTCAAGAAAAGCCACTAATCAGAGCTGACAGTTCCAATATAAGCCTCAAATTAGACAGTTCCAAAGCACTTCCAATATAAACATCAAATCACACACTTGACAGCTGAAGGAGCTATACTATACGAAATATAGGCTCCATTTGCATTGTCAGCTTTAGTACATGCTTTGACTTAAGAATACTAAAATCACAATTTAGTGAGACAGTTGTTGTTTGTCTGAGGGTTGAAGCTTATAGATGAGCATGTAGAAGCTTGTAGACAAGTCAACAAAGCAGGCACAGCATAGTATTCTGATTTAGGCTGTATCTTCTGCAAGTTTAAGGCCTAATTGAAATTGGGGATTTATTTTGAAGTAAGGAATCATTGGATCAGGTTACTAGTCCATTTGACTTCATTTGTAGCCTTGGACAAAGTATTCCATACACTTGGTTCCATAGGGTCACTGGAGAATATTTTAAAACTGATTTTTTTATATATAAAAAAGGGTTTTCAATTGACCCATAATGTTGGATTTGCCTTAACTGCCTGAACACTTGGTTTTATTTCATTTATCTAAAATATTTCATTTATCTAAAATGTCACTAGTGCCCATGTCCTGTGAACTAGTGACATTTTAGACAAAGCGAGCAAAGGGTGTTTTTTCCTGGACTATGGGCAATCATGGGGAAGTACTGGTGCTTTGGGGGAAAGGCAAGTGTTGCAATTAGATTATATGTGCAGAGGCCTCTGCTTGGCTGTTGTGGGAAATAGGGTTCTGGACCAGCAAGGATCTGTTGGTCTCACCATAAGCTTAAAAGATGGAGAAAATAGAGGCTAGAGAGAGAAGGCGTATCTATAGGTCATTAGGCTTGGGGGAGCTTCCATGTACTTGGTTGAGGCCACAGCACTCCACCCCAAATCCTAAAAAATAATCCTTTAGAGACAATGCTTAGCTATGCCTGAGCAGTACTTAGTGCTCAGGGTTTAGACTAAACGGAAAGCATTTTTTTGTGTATGTGAAGAATCTCATTTTACATTTTGAATTGCAAGAGGACTTCTCAGGCAAATTACATTCAATTTGCAAGACATTAGTGCGTTATGAGATAGGCAGATTTGTATTCTGAAAACTTCAGAAACATAGTTTTCCGAGACCCACTTCAGATAGCAATCTCAAAGACTGGTCAAATGGAAAATCTGGTTAACAGCTATGGCATTTCCTGAATATAGATAATGTAGTCACAGTGACTCATGCTCTGGTAACCTTCCATCTGGATTACTGTAATGTGTTTTACATGGGGATATCGTTAAAAAATGACCTGGAAACTTCAATTAGGGCAGAATACGTCTGGCAGAGTGTGGTCTGTGACAACCACAAGGGACCATGTAACACCAATACTGAAAGATCTTTATTGCCTGTCTATACGTTTCTGAGCTGATTTTAAGCTGCTGGTGCTAACATGTAGAGCTGTAAATGCATTGGAACCCAAATATCCGAAGGCATGTTTCTCCCTCTATCAGCCTCCGTTATCAGGTGCCACCATTAGAGTCCCACCAAAGGAAGATACACCATGTGGTGACATGAGATAGGGCCTTTTCTGTGGTGGTTGTGAAATACCCTCTTCCTGGAAGCACAACGGGTGCTGATTTTGTTAGCATTCCAGTGCCATGTAAACATATATCTCTTTCACAAATCCTTTCCGGCATTTTAGTCTGGCACTGCAGTGAAAAGGGCCATAGCTCAGTGGTAGAACATCTGTTTTGTATGCAGGTGGTCCCTGATTCAGTTCCCAGCATCTGCAGGTAGGGCTGAGAAAGATTCCCTGTCTGAAACCCTTGAGAGCCACTGCCACCCAGGTCAGACAGAATGGCGGCTTCTAATGAGATGTTCTTTGAGGTTTTCTGTTATGCTGGTTTTATCATTGCTTTTATCCGCTCTTTTCACTTTCTGTTTTATTGACTGTGATTTTAACAGAAGGATAACCTGCCTTAAGATCATTGGATGAAGGGTGGGACTAAAAATATTTTAAATAAATAAACAGCCATAATGTTACTTTGACTTTAGTGCCAGTGAACTATTTAAGAGAGAATTTGCTCAAGGGAAGTGAGGATCTGTGAAATGGGAGTGCTAGTTCTCAGCGATGGTTTCTGAATATCGCTTAGGAACCACAGTTACATCTGCACCAATCCTATATTTTAGGTAGCAACATTAGATTTCAACTTACGGGAGAAAAGTGGATCCAAGTTTGTTAATAATGAACTCCTTTTTATTGTTTAAATATTTATTATTACATGTATATTTCAACTTTGTCTCCAAGGATCTCAAAGTGCTGCATATATTTCTTCCCTTTCTCAATTTATTCTCACAACCACCCTGTGAGGTAGGGCTATGGTGAGAGACCGTGACTGACCCAAGGTCACCCAGTGGGAATTTGTGGCCTGGTCTACCATCTCCTCTAACCACTACATCACACAGGCTTAAATAATAGGATTTCAAAAGAAAAAGCAAGAGTGTTCTAACAACTCTCCATTTATATGTTAACCTCTTGGTTTGAACTAGGCATTTATTGTATTTGCCAAATGCAAACAAGGGTCATAAAATGTACCATTTCAACCAGATAGGTTCTACGTAGCAAAATGAAACCTTTATTTTAGTTAGTGTGCCTCCTTCTGATGTCACCGGGAGGTTCATCTCTGTTCTCTTCTAGTCAAAATTGGTGGGTGTATAATAGTGTTTCTGCGCAAAAAGTGCTTCTAACCTTTCAGCAATGCTCTCTGTATATTTAAGCTAAATACTGTACTGCAAATCAATGCATACCATTCTTGAAAATCTGATCTACTCTGCTGATTTTGGCAAACAGCATTTAGGCATTCTCACTCTTGGCTGAAAACAACAGCAAGTTGGGTTTTTATGCTGCTTTTGCTACATTAGTCCAACAACTGTTAAAAAGCCTTAGCTGAATTTTTGTGTAGTTGAGAAAGAAGTGCAAATAAAAGAAGGAGCAGATGGTCCTTTTGTGACTGAACCAAATAAAAGGGGTTTGAGAACAATAATTGTGAATAGGTGTAGTCTAATAAAACACTCAGCCACCTGCTGCCTGCATCCTTCAAAAAGATTCTGTTGCATATTCTTGGAATTAACTAATAGTGTATCCTTGGGTTGAATCGAAATACGAGCTGTAAGAAACACACAGACCTTTCTTTTATTTTCCCGTGTTGAATGAGTTGTTTTTCATGGCTTTAAAATGTCTCTGTTCTTTGTCTCCGAGTTCTACACTATTGCAGTGTGTTATCTAGCATTTCTTCTCAACCAATTAAAAAAAATGTGTGGTTTTTTTCCCTTTTGGAAAAGCACAAGCATCCTTCTATTTTCTTTTCTTTTTTTCAAGTTTGAAAATGTAGAAGTACAACATTGGTACTTTGTCAGAACTTTCAGTTAAGAGGTTAACTTCGATCTGCAAACCTTATTTTGAATTCTCCCCCCCCCTTTTTTTTTTTTTTAGGGTTTTACTCTCCAGCCTGATTACCAGAATATTATCAACCCAACATCTACAGCTGCGCAAGTTGTTACCCAAGCGATGGAGTATGTTCGTTCAGGGTGCAGAAATCCCCCAGCACAGAGTGTGGACTGGAATAATGATTACTGCAGTAATGGGTGAGCAGCCAGTGAATGCCACCTTGTGTTGAGTAATATTTATGACAAAAGCTAGGCAACAATTGTGGTATCTATTTTTATATTTATCATCTAGCTCAGATTACAGGGTTCTGATGCCTTTGGTTACTAACAGATGTCTAGTGAAAATAATAATAAACAAGCTGTGGCTTGCTTTACATCAGACCAGTATATTTTACTATTAGGGAGACTGCTATTTAAGAGAACAAGGGCTGCAGTACTGCACATAATTAATTGCAAATAAGACTCACCCTCCACTGAAATCAATGAGAGAAATGGAAAATTGTGTCAACCACTTACAGTAAACAGAAGAGAATATTATCTTGATAGCCATATACTTGTTGGCAGCTGTCTGTCTCAGGAGACAATGAAGGAGTGAACATTTGGGGATGAAGTCAACCCATTGGAAGGTTACAGTAGCTGTAGAAACCAATATGAGAGAGACATGTTTTGTTGCAGCTGGGGCAGATGAAGGCACCCAGTTGTGCTGTTGCAGATGCACCATGGCGTTTCTTCTCTCTGCACTTCTCCTAGTGGTCGCAGACTACACACTCCTTATTCAATACAGTGGTACCTCTGGTTAAGTACTTAATTCGTTCCGGAGGTCCGTTCTTAACCTGAAACTGTTCTTAACCTGAAGCACCACTTTAGCTAGTGGGGCCTCCTGCTGCTGCCGCGCCGCTGGAGCACGATTTCTGTTCTCACCCTGATGCAAAGTTCTTAACCCGAGGCACTATTTCTGGGTTTGCGGAGTCTGTAACCTGAAGAGTCTGTAACCCGAGGTACCACTGTAAATGAAGATCTACAAATTTGGTGGGGTTCATGGCCCTTTCCTCCTCACAGCAGCCATCCCTGCCTCTAAAGCGATAGGGTGTCTGAGATATTGGTCAACTTGCTTAACTAAGGAAGAATATTAAATATATCTAATACAGGGATGGGGAAGCTGTAGCCCTCTAGACGTTGTTGGACGCTCTACTCTCCCAAATGCAGACCAGGGTGCTTTTCCCATCAACCCCAGACAGGATGGCCATTGGTCAGGGGTGATGGGGGTGTTAGTCCAAACAACATATGGAGGGCCAGAGTTTCCCCACCATTAGAAAGAGCCTGTGCTTTTCTGTTTACATGTGCACAGCCAAGCAAAGATGCTTTGTGTCCAGAGCATTTATGTTCAAAGACTTCCGATGGGAAGGGGCAATCAGACAGGCTGGTTTATAAAGGGGCACAGGCTTACTCTCTGCTGGGCTGAGGTGCTCCCTGGATTCTTGGCTAGAATTGCATGCCTGTCTTTGGCCCAAACTGGGGGACTTTGCTAACACTTCTGGCCTGCTTAAGATATCAAAACACTGATCTCAAGGCTTAACATGTGGTTTTGAGTGTCAACACTAAATGTAATTCTCTTTTCTCTCCCCCTCCCCCAAATTCTTTCTGAACAGGGCCATGCAGAGGGACAAAGCTTTGTATCTTACCTGAACAGTTTGGGAAAGCGCCTCTTCTTTCCACTGAGGAATGCAGGGAAGTCTTTTCATCCCAGATTGCTATATGCAGTCAAGGCAGTTCTGCATTTATTTAGAAAATATAAGTTGCTAAGCACTTAGGACTATTTAAGCTGGTGGGTCATTCACTCTGGGGGGAGGGAAATAGTCTTGCTCCTTTCTCCACCCCCTTGTTTCTTTTTCTTTCTCCTTCAGCATCCTCTAAATGGACGTTGCTTTTCTTCTTTCATTTAGGAAGGAGGCTTGGACCATTCAGATTTTATGTTGGTTTTTATTTTTGCTGTGAAGTGCTGCGCTAGTAACTGCCTTAGCAACTGTAGATGTCTTGGATAAAAGTCCTGGATTTTCCATTGGTTTTCATAATGGGTGTTTATATGAAACTACTAAAGACTTTTTAAATGGCTTGATGTAGCAGTCATAGCAAGTTTGTAAATAGCATCTATGTTACACTCTCCTAGAGTATAAAATGTGAATGTTTTTGTAGCTAATTGTAATTTGAAACTGGCTCATTCCAGTTTATTGATTTCACAAAGGGGGTTAAATTGGCAAACATTCATATTTTTACTTCATTTTTAAGCAACTGACTAATAGTTCTATATTTTCAAACTCTTTGAAAGAAAAAAGGAAAATTATTCCCAAATGAATTTAATTAAACAGAAATTGGCTTTCTGTCATTAGTTATACAAAAAAAAAGTTTAGTGTTGGGAAAAGAGCAAACACATTTATTTTGTACTGCCTAAAACTGCTTTTTTATCACTTTATGTGTAATGGTTAGTAAACGTCATTTACGTCCTCTTATGTATAAAATGGCCAAATGCTTTCTTGATATTTTATTAGATGCTGAAACAGATTGGAAACATCTAAATTATAACCTTTACATACGGCTATGTATTATTGTTTCTTCATACTGTGTCTGTATTTAATCTTTTTTATGGAAGCTGTTGCGCCTATTTATGAAATAATAAATATAGGTGTTTGTAAGTAAATTTGTTAGCATCTTAAAGAAGATTTTTTTAAAACTACTTTTGTTGGCATCAATGTATTTGCTGCTGGTGTGAATACTTTTAGTTTAGTTTTTACAGTGATATGAATAAAGCCAAACCAGCTTTTCATGGCAGAAAAAGAAGGTAATCAACATTTATTCTATACTTCCTAAGTTGATCTGTGACCAAAAAAAAAAGTAGAGGGGGGAGCTAAATCCTTAACAAACTTCCCTGTATCTCTAGTCACAAGTTACCTAGATCACATTAGTGAAGACTAAATAAGGAGATATAGAGTATGTCAAAAGTATGATGTGCACAGGGACTTCCCCATTCTCTTCTGTGAAGGGAAGCTTTCTGCACATAGGTAGGAATGGTGTTACATGCACAGGTCATTCCTGTGCCTACAGGCAACAGCAAAGAAGCCCCTACATGAGTGCAGCTCCATATAATGTATTGGGGCAGCTGGAGCAGCGCTGCTGTTCTAAATGGATGCCTTTGGCATTCAGAGAACATTTGCCCCAAAAAACAAAGGTGAATTTTAATGGAAAAAAGAAACCAAAATGTAAAGTTACCAAAAAATACTTCAGTTATGAAGGCAAAAAGGGCTAGGTCATAATTTTTATGAGTAGGAAGTAGCAAGAACAGGGCTAAATTCTTCAGTAACCACTGAATGGCCCAAGAGTAGAATAGTGATTAAGAGAGGCCAAAACTGAGTATTTTTACCACTTAGATTAAGGGAAGTCCAACATAGTACCCTCCAGATAATATTGGACCACAGCTCCCATAAACCCTGACTATTAGTCACATTGGGGATGATGAAAGTTGTAGCCCAACACTATCTGGAAGAACCACATTGGCTACCCCTTGGTTTAGAACATGAATAGTTATGAATAACCCATTCTGAGATGAATCCATCCACGGTCCTCCAAATGGGAATGGGCCTACTTAGGAAGGGATGAATAAGGGATGTTGTAGGTGTGTCAAACACTGCCAGTTCTCCCATCTGTATATTGACTATGCCAGAGACAGAGTTAACTAATCATTCTCCAATTAACATTGAAGGTAGCACTCTTAATTTTTGGACCCTATCTTTGTTTCCTTAAGAGTTCTCCTTCTCCCCATCCAAACAGAGCATCAAATTATGTTTTGAGAAAGCTGGTGCAATTTCTGTTTCCTTTTGTCCACTTACTCTTGGCTACAAGCTCTGCCAGGCAATTCATATCTCCTGTTTGGGAAAATCTAGTATTCTCATCTTAAGGGATGCTCAGGGTGGCAAACTTGTACTGGTTAAATTGCGAATCAGCTGGCTTCTATTTCATATGTGAAATAGAGATATTGTGTTAATCCAATCCAAAAGAAAAAGATGTAAAATGCCTGAAAAGTACATTATGTTTGCTTTGAAATGAAATTAGGCAATGTACAAACTTGAATCACTTGAGCATGTAATAACTAATAAATAATGCAGATCAGATGTGATTATTCAAATGGCTATAGCTGAGTTCTAATTTTCTTGTCTTGAATCCATATAGGAAGTCACAATTACATTCACGGTTTTATTGTCTTTATGTTGAGTACTTTAGAAATAAACCAGCACTAACAATTAGCTAATATTTCCCATTAAATTCTGTTATAGTAAAATTTCATTTCCCACTCAGAATAATTCTACAAAGAGAGAAGCAGTTGGCAGTTATGGGAATCAGCTTCAACAGGATTTGATGGGAGAGTGCTGTGTTATCAATATCTTTGCTAGAGAGGCTGTGCTGTCACAGAATACCATTTATTAATTTCAGTAGCCAACCAAGGTTCAAACTAGAAGCAAATATCAATGTCAATAAAACGTATGTCATAATTAAAGAATTTCTGTGTGGTGGTGTTGCTGTTCAAGTATATACTGGAGGTTAAAACCTCACACCTTTACACTGCTTGGAGGTATTTTAGTCATGTTTCCATAGAGCAAATGGACATTACATAACTGCATGAGTGGTTGTTCCCTAACACACATTCTGTGGAAATTTGGCCTGATTAGTGCAGTGTGCTATTTCACATTATAACTGCACAGGCAAATGTCCAGCCTAGAGATCAAAATTGCAGTCTTGAAAATGAGAGTAGCTATTTACTTGCCTAGAGCAATCAGCTGCCCTTATAATAACATTCTGAATACTCACCTAAATGTCCGACTAAGTGCATATTTGCACACCAACCACTTTTAAATATGATTTCTATACAGTGCAATCTTATATTTATCTACCCATAAATAAGTCCTACTGAGTTTATGGAAGTGAGTATAAGATTGCAGCCATACCCATGTTATCAAGCTTAGGATATCCTTTCTGGAAAGCACCATGCATTTAAAGCATTTTGCATGTTAAATATTGCATCACTGGTAAAATATTTTAAATGATAGGTGGAGGACTAAAACATATATTTCAAATTGCAACCATGAAAATAGAAAGATATCCACAAATTATACAAGAAGCTAGCAACCCTTTCAAATTTCGGTACCCAATGCTACACATATGCATGTCAAAGAAAGAGACCCAACATGCAGTGGCGTAGCAAGGTTAGCTGGTACCCGGTGTGGAAAATTTCTTGCCCCCCCCCCCAACGCTAGAACAGAACATTTGTAAGGAGAGATAAAAATGTTTGTCATCAACACTGACAACTTGGGACCTTGGGGGTTTTCATGCAGTATCCTGCCAGGTGTGAAGCAGCACATGTGGTTCCTTTCACCAAAGGCAAACATGGGCAGGAATGCACAGGAACCAGTAAAACATTTACCCAATGCTGGCAAAGGATTTCATCAAGGTTCATCACTTATCTTAGAGCACTGGTATAATGTTACAGGACTTCTGGCAAAAAGAATAAAAATTGTAATCCTCTTATCACTACACATGGCACAGTGTATCCTCCTTGGCAAGGTTATTTTTCTATTTTCAGACATGCTAAATCATAAGTGAAATGTAGGCCTTTTATGGAAGTAGAAAAATTCCCAAACTTTACTGTTGGCATTTTAGAATTCTGTCAAGGTTGCTGCTAAATGAAAAGAAACCCACCACTTTTTATGTACATCAGCACAAATTGATATTAACTGGTGATCGCATTTTGCCAAGGACTTCATACTTGGAACATCAATTCATTCATGATATGCTACATTTTAAAAGGGATTTAGAAAATTAAAAGTTGAACCAGCAAACATGAGGCAGAGCATAAGGGAACGTGCATTTATTGTGCATTTGTTATGTTAATAGCTCATCTTTTTCTTCAAGGAGCTCAGGTTGGTGTACATGGTTTCTCCTCCTCATTTAATCCCCACAGTGCCCCTTTGAGGTAGGTTAGGCTGAGAGGCAGTGTCTGGCCCAAGGTCACTCAGTAAGTTTCATGGTTCAATGAGGATTTGAATCCTGGTCTCCCAGGTCCTAGTCCGACACTCAAACCATTACACCACATTGGCTCCCAAATGTACGTAGCTCCAGTCTATTCCAGAACAAAGGGTTCATCGTTTAATTCAAATTTACATTGAAACCAAGCATAATTGTCCTGGTGGGCTGTCAAGGCAAATATTAATTTGGCAAAGATTAATATTGACTTGCTAAGATTAGAATTGACTTGTTAAGGCTGTCTAGCAGCTGCATTTGGCAGCATTCCTGCAAGTGCATGTCATATCAGAGTATAAGGCTCAGACGTGGTTGCTTGCCAGCTGTTACTTAAAGCACCCTTACACCATTTTGAGTATTCTTGTTCTCCAGGCTAAACAGCAAGGTATTGCCAACTGAGAGTCTTTTATCTGACCGAAAGTTAAACTTTCAGTTCATGGCTGAGCTGATAACAAGTACCGGAAGCCAGTAGGTGGTTAGGATGGTATTTGAAACTCAGGTTGCCTCTGCTGAATGTGGTTGTGCTGTTTCTTTCCTTAAAAAGTCAGAAAAACCACAGTGAGTAACTGTTTCATGAAGGGGCTTAAAGCAATAAAAACATATAGTTTGAGATTCATGGAGCTGCTTAGATTCATGCAATGGACTTGAGCAAAGCTACTGCATTTTTTTGACACTTTCTTTGTTCTTTTTGACACACACACAGTCTGCTTTTGAAATTCAGACTGCAATCCTGTGCAGCCTTATTACCTGCAATGAAGCCTCACCGATTTGGGGACTTACTTCTGAGTAAATAGGATCATACTGCTCCCCAAGTTTCTAAAGCAGATTGCCAACAAACAAGGGGGGGGACAAATCTAAAGCCCCTTAGACTTATGGAACTAGTTTGATGGTATTCATATATGCCTTAAGGTATACATTCATATATACCTTAAGGCAGTGTTCCCCAACCTTGGGCCTCCAGCTGTTTTTGGACTACAATTCCCATCATCCTTGACCGCTGGTCTTGCTAGCGAGGGATGATAGGAGTTGTAGTCCAAAAACAGCTGGAGGCCCAAGGTTGGTGAACACTGCCTTAAGGTATATATTCATATATACATTAAGGTATATATTCATATATACCTTATGCTTTCTCAGAACATACCCATCTGCTGTACACTCTATTGGCAAAGTTAAACACAGGTGGGTACTGTATTACCAGCACACAGCATATAAAAGCCAGGCACAGATCTTTCTTAAACATATGCATAGAATATCCTCAGTCAGTGAAACTAACCTTAAACTACCGGTATATAAGCTGCTAAGTTATGCAACATATAGCACAGTTTAGCATCAAATATAAGCAATCACAGAGATTCTGGAGTAAAACAAACATTAGCAATGAAAAGAATAATGCTCCACTGTGGCTAAATGTCAATATAAATAGCAATGTGCTACAATTAAAGTTGATTTGGCCTTTCCAATAGAAGTCTGATTTTCTGGGATTAATCTCGACCTTTTCAAGTTGCATCAGGCTGAAATAAGTTGTCAGAACAGATGTGAATTTTATTTGCAAAGAACAATTGTAATCTTGTAACCCTTAGAGGGCCAATGTTCTCCAGATTGCCTGGCAGATGAATGCATCAGACATGGACATTTTGATAATTGTAGCCATGGAGCAAAATCCTTCCATGTCAAAAGATGATAATGATTTTAATTTTCATAAAAGAAAGATGCACAGTGGATGTGTTTACCTTGGATGACTGCTTCCTTCTGCAGCACTGAGACATTTCCCCTTGTATATCTTTGTAATATGGCTGAGATCTCAACACACAGGCATTATCATATCTCCATGATTATTATTTTTTGAGGGGGGGTACCCTGGCCCTGTTATGAGATCTTTTACCTATTACATAGTTTTGGAAGTCTAGGGGGCTCAATTCATTAGACTCAATTTAGGGAGAATTGGGTGGAAATTATGGCTTTCACTAAAGCTCCCCCACCATACCTTTCACCCCATAATTCAAACACTGTCTCTGTGCAACAATTCACAAAGTAAGAAATCCTTTAGGCAGAAAAACCTGAATTATATTACAGAATTTAGAAATTTACAGAAGAAGAGAAGTGCTGCCACCACCAGATGCAAAAAATGAGGCTGCAATCTTATGCATATAATTGTAACTAAGCCCACTGAAACTTATAAACAAGCACAGGGTTGAGCTACAATTGTAAGCATACCACTGAAATCAAAAGGACTTACATAGGCTGAATGGGGCTTAGTCCAAGAGGAATGAGTACAGCGGTACCTCGGGTTAAGAACTTAATTCGTTCTGGAAGTCTGTTCTTAACCTGAAACTGTTCTTAACCTGAAGCACCACTTTAGCTAATGGGGCCTCCCGCTGCCGCTGCACCACCGCTGCACGATTTCTGTTCTCATCCTGAAGCAAAGTTCTTAACCCGAGGTACTATTTCTGGGTTAGCGGAGTCTGTAACCTGAAGCATATGTAACCCGAGGTACCACTGTATACAACTGCAGCCTTCAATGGGGATGTCAAGTTTCACTTCTTCTTATTCCGTCCCCCATCCCATTCTAACATTTGGTTTGTACGATTTTGATAGAGCTGATCTCCATGCAGTACCATTTCCACAGGAAGAAAATATCTGCATAGATCTGAATAATGTGCTGATTACAGTCTCAAGATGCTGGAAACGTGTGGGGACAAGATTTTCAGGAGAGGGGTAAATTTAAATCAAGTTTGCTTCCTAAGTGGAATCAGCCAGTATCAGTGCCGGATTTACATATAAGCTAAACAAGACATAGCTTAGGTCCCCACTCTCTTGGGGGCCCCCAAAAAAATTAAAGGGAAAAAAACCTGGATGTACATTTCCAAAATAGAAGATAAAAAACAAATAAAATAAAACTTACATATAGCAACAGTGCTTTGTGTTGTGTAGGCTCCTGTGATGTAAGTAATGGGCCCCACCTGCTAGCCTGCTCCCTAAAATATCACTGGTTTGCTCATGTCTGTATCAATTACTTTGATAAAAATCATATTTTGTTATGTGCAAATGGCTTTAGATACCTATGAGGCCCATAAATTACCATATAGCATATATTCAACACAAAAAACAGCAACAATTTGTTGTTGACAAAGAACAACTGGACATATAAAGGGTCCCATATAAAGGGTCAGTAGCTTAGGGCCTCTTCAAACCTAAATCCGGCCCTGGCTAGTGTAGAGGGCCAGAGACACCTTTCTGACACCAGCGTCACTGCAACTTATCTAAGTGGTTCTAGGGAGAAGCTTGGTTACCTGGACGCACCAGTGGAACCAATCCAGCCCTGCCACCAGTGCGTCTGTGCAGCCCGAACTTCACCACTACCCCACCCTAGTCCCCATTCAAGTAAGCTGCAGGGACACCAGTGTTGGAAGGGCAGCTGCCGATTCACCAAACTGACCACTAATGATCCTATGATAAGTATTTGCTGTACGTATGCATGAACAC